GGTCTAGAAAACCTTATTGACGACAGTACCTGGATGGCGAGACTCGAAGCCATCAACCTAAAGTACCCTAAAGCGCCAGTAGACACGATAAGTATAGTAGAACTCGTCCTTTTGTCTTCCTTACCGGGACGACCAACGCGATTAACGCATCAGTTCCCCAGCTTTGAAATATGTTTATCATAGATCACTGATAAACCAAGCGGCTGTGTGTGTTTATCTTGACTTAAGCATTGTTGATGGGTGGTGTCTGTGATGCACTTAAACTGCATCCTCTCAAACACCCGGAATACATCACAACACAACACCACACAACACAACACAACACAACACCACACCACACAACACCACACTATCTCGCTTTTAATACGTGTTGTCGTGTGTATATCCGTCCTGGACCAAGAGTACATTATTAAAGACTATAGTTGTTGGAGCAGAGTAACACATTGTAACATAAATACTACTGTTAAGCGATGACCTGGGAGAGACATATCTCACTCTTAACTTCTAATAGATGCTGTCTGGCCTAGGAGTAAACTTGGTGTGCGTGTCTGGTTGCCTTAGTTTGTTGAGATATATAAACACAGTCAACAGTGTATGAAACTTAACTTAATTTATAAGTTTAGACAGCGTGTTGGTTGAGGTTTATACACACATACGCATAAAGAACCACGTAAGCTTGGAAAAAAAATAATAATAACTATCCGTATGTTTGTAGATTCCCAGAAATACTTATAACAGTTATGGAAGCTGTATAATATAGGAAAAAAAATCAGGATTTCTAACTTTTATTTTCTTGTGTACAAAAAAAAAAAGTTAGTAAAAATCCTTTAAAAGATCTTGGCCGCTGAAGTGCTTAAAACAACAACACAACAACGAAAGCCTTTAACTGTGGAGGAGAGCTTAACTTTTGTGGTTAATATCTGCTGACAGTTTTTATGTTTTTTTATGATTGTTCACCATAAAAGTTTGTTAACCATAAAAATATTAAACCAAAACTATATTTACGCAACACATTCATTACTGCTATAATAATTCAATGCATATATATATATATGGTTTTTTTTTATTATGCTGTTTGTAAAATTGTTTGTTGCCGCTCATGAATAAATGTGTTCACTAAAATTTTATTAATTGGGTGACTTGTGAGATAGATAGATAGATAGATAGATAGATAGATAGATAGATAGATAGATACTGTAGATAGATGGATGGAAGGAGGGAGAAAGGGTGAGATGAAGGTAGGAAGTGAGAGAGAGAGAGAGAGAGGTATTGACCGTACTGTACGTCTGTCAGGCTGTTGTCAGTGAATCAGTCATAAATGGTGATCTGGCTTAATGACCTTTAAAGAACACTTAAGTTATTAATGTTATAATGTTATTCCTTCAACAAACTTAGGTCTTTAAGGACGTGACGAGACTAGTAATTACATTCCTTCATCAACGATAAAAAATAAACCTCAATTTCACGCTGGTTTTGAGTCACGACACAACACAACACAGCATAGTACAGCACAACACGACACAGCGTAGCATAGTACAGCACGACACGACACAACACAGAATAGTACAGCACGACAGACACAACACAGCATAGTACACGCAACATGACACGACACAACACAGCATAGTACAGCACAACACGACACAACACAGCATAGCATAGCACGACACGACACAGCATAGTACAGCACAACACGACACAGCATAGCATAGCACGACACGACACAGCATAGTACAGCACAACACGACACAGCATAGCATAGCACGACACGACACAACACAGCTTAGTACAGCACGACACGACACAACACGCAGCACTACACGACACAACACAGCATAATACAACGCAACCACGACACAACACAGGCATAGTACAACGCAACACGACACAACACAGCATAGTACAACGCAACACGACACGACACAACACAGCATAGTACAACGCAACACGACACAACACAGAATAGTACAGCACGACACGACACAACACAGCATAGTACAACGCAACACGACACAACACAGCATAGTACAACGCAACACGACACGACGCAACTCAGCATAGTACAGCACAACACGACACAGCATAGCATAGCACGACACGACACAACACAACACAGCATAGTACAACGCAACATGACACGACACAACACAGCATAGTACAGCACAACACGACGCAACACAGCATAGCACGACACGACACGACAAAACACCCTCGACTAAGAATGTTTTCACCTTGTGTCTTAGGGAGTGTCAACTTAGCTTTTATATTACGCAACTTAATTCTTCAAGAGTTAGCATAAGGCTCTACGTATACCGTGTGGGAAGAGAAACGAATGTACGGTGTCTCAAGCCGCAGCAGGAGAGGTTATTGCAAGGTCGGTGAGATTTAGTGGTCAGGTCTTGTTGTGGGCAGAACATACCAGCCAGGAGATCTTGGGTTGGCTTGTGGTTGGGTTAGGTTAGGTTTGATTCCATGATAAGGAGATGAGTGTGTGTGTGTGTGTGTGTGAGTCAGTAAAGTTCCAGTAGGGTCATGTCGAAGGAATCATCACATTTATTGTCCTCTAAAACTTACCGACGTCATAAACTTGAGGAGGAAAATCCCTGTGATAAAATAAGTGATAAAAGGCTACAGTACGACCCAGCTACACCTTGTAACGACCTACTCCATGTTCCTCTGAGTTACTCTTGTAATTATAAGATTATTTCCACCTCCCCTCCCTCTTAATAACGTCATAGTAGCGGTGGTGATGGTTGGTTCTTGTGGTGATGTCACAGTGTTTTTGGTGAGGTCACACTTGCTCTAGGTGACCTCTTGATATTTTTTAGTAGTAACATCACACGATTATTGGTGAAGCCACAGACTTCATCATCTTTTTTTACTCCACACCATTAATACTTTAAACAGCTGTAATATCATATAAGTGTTTAAAATACAACACAGGTAAAAATAGAATTGTAAACTCACGGGGGAGGGGGGGGGGTCAGCTGCCGTCCGCTACAGTAAAACCCTTCGTTAATAAGATATCAAATGTTATCTGATCCCGCCTGACTAACACATTATGTTAGTGCTCTTCAACAGGTCCCCGTGTACTGTATGAATAAGTTATCTGCCACTAATGAAGTTTTTCTGGACTGTGTTGCGTGAGGTTTGACTAAAGTGAATCACGTCTAGACTACACACCTAATCCTGTTAAGACGTGAGAGTATTCCTTGTTACGATACCTAAATGATTAAAGTGACATTATCTCTCCCTCTTGATGGTTTTTATGGGTAGGTAGACTATTCATCTGGTAACATGGCCTCTGTAAATGTACTTCCAGGAAGGAGAGAGTGACGTGCCGTGTTGTCACTATTCTTACAATATGTATCGCTCGCATAAAACTGAGGCACCGGGTGATTATTTAGCCGAGCCAGTGTTGAGTACGACCTTATTTCATCTCTCAAGGAAGAGCTAAAAATGAAGTAGTCAGTCTTAAGGGGTAAAGTTAAATATAGATCACCGGGCCGGACTCAAATGTCTTCCTCTGAAGTTTCATTATTCAATTTTATTCATCGTCATTAACCTACTTTAGATCTGTTGTCACTTTGAAATATAATCAAGAGAAACTCAGCATAAATGAGTATTTTTGTTTACTCCTTCCTATTTTATATAACAAGATAGAGAAATCCTTTACCTGGAGGTGTTAATTTACAGGTGTAGCCCCGTGCAGGTGTTGGGAGGGATACAGGTGCAGTATTTCTTGACTGGCGCTAGAGTGTGATAATCAGTGTCTGGGCGTCTCTGTGTCGGTGATAAACCAAAGCCATAATCCAGGCAGGGACACGGAGGCGGCCCCCCTGGACCTTCATATATAACAGTGTCTCGAGCCTCGGTATTGGCCCAAGCTTCGGCTCCACACAACGTACGAGGCAATATTTGCTATACCCCGATAGCACTGTGATCACTTTTTTATTTTAAACAGAGAGAGGTAGACAGAGTTTATTTTTTTACGAATTTAGTTCATGGAAAGGTGATGTATATATTTTTTTTAGTATACCCATTAGTGTTTCTCTCCTCCTCCTCTTCATCCTCTTCCTCCTCCTCCGCTGCCTCCTCCTCCTCCTCCTCCTCCTCTTACCTGCTGGTATCCAGGCGCCAGGCATGAGAAGATCTCCTTCAACAAATACCTTTACGTTGCATCTCTTGACGTTGCCTCCATCACAAACTCAAATTCCCATTCTGGATTTTCAAAGAAATTTTAAGTTAAATTATTATCTTCCATACTAGTGGAGTGAGAACACATCTGTCTTACTGAAGCGGCGACACAGAACATTTACGAGTAACAATTAATTCAGTCAGTCAGCCCACAACCCTTGGTGGCTGTGAAAATGAATTAAACTCGACCATATCTAGATTCACTCACTCTTGTCCCTGCCAGCGATATCTTATGTGACAAACTTTTACCAATACTGTATAGAACACGTATTGTACCACTGATAATGTTCTTGTTAAGTATATCTCTTAACTCTATTGAAACACGTCAATGTGTAGATATGTTGTTGTTGTTGTTATTATTATTATTATTATTATTATTATTATTATTATTATTATTATTATTATTATTATTATTATTATTATTATCATCATCATCATCATCATCATCATTAAGAGTAGCATCATTTGGACTAATGGTTGTAAGGTAGAGAAGGAAACAGAGGCTCAGAGACAACGTCACTCCTCACATTTCGTCTTGAAGGATTCTCTCTAAGGAAACAATTCCTTCGTGACCAAACGTCAGGAGTAACATTGTTCTCTGAGCCTGTTTCCTTCCCTGCCTTACAACCATTATCATTAAAACTAATATTTTGTATTTTTTTATATATTGTTTGCCTGTTTGTATGTACGTAAACATGTGTGTGTGTGTGTGTGTGTGTGTGTGTGTGTGTGTGTGTGTGTGTGTGTGTGTGAACAGCTGGAGAGGACACAAGACAAAGTTGAGGATAAAGTAAACACCGTTATAAGACACAGCCCGAGTCTTACCTGGGCTGTGTTTACATTTATTTGACAAAGATGATCCACCTATCACAGCGAGGCACTACATGTGCTGGCTCTACCATACATATCTTACAAAAGATAGTCATTATATTTTCCTATACCGTATGGGAGTCCAAATTAACAGTCAGTGCCGTATATACAAAGGAACAATTTTTTTAATAACATGTTCATATTCGTTAAACGTATAAATTCGACTAATTAAACCTATAGTGAGTTGAACAGTGATCTTAAGCTCCTTAAGATAAGAATGATAAAGTTTTTAATCGAGCGGATGTCTGTGTGTGGACTGACTGACCGCGGAACAGGAGTCATCTACTTACAAAAATACAACTTAACACATCTTGTTGATAGTACAGTACACACACACACTGGCGATTGAGCAACAGTTGACAATAAGTTACGTCACACTCACACGAGCAGTATCCCAGTCACATGTACTGATGACCAGGTGATACTTTCATGACCAGGTGGTGACCAGTTGACCCTTGTGATAACTAGGTGGTGATCAGGTGACCCTTGTATTGACCTGGTGACACCTTCATGATCAGCTGATGACCATGTGGCATTTTCATGACCAGGTGATGACCCCCTGTGATGACTAGGTGGTGACCAGATGGCACGTATGGCCAAGAGGGATCTTGGCTCACCAGGTGACACTAAGTACCAGGTAATGATCTAGTGTCGCTTGAGATCAGGTGAAACTGCGACTCGTTGATGGCCTGGAGATCCTAGTGGCCAAGTGATGACCAGGTGACACTAGTGACCAGTTGACACGTGTAAGCCCGGACCTTATATTACCTCGCCACCTGGTCAGTGCTCCAGCTCTCAGCGTTAATTAAATATTCACAGGTAGTCGCCTCCACCTGGGCAGTAAGCCGTACTGTGTGACCACCTGCCAGATGCACCGTCAGGTGACTCACTCCCATGGTGAGTCATTATTAGTGAGTTCAGCACACCTGTGTTTGAGCAGCCTCTTCAGTACACGTATATACTGTGAATATGTTAATATGTTACCTTTAATAGGGATCATTGCCGATTAAGCTTTAGAAAACAACAAACATTTTTGCGAAATACAGACATTTTTTTGTTTTTATTGTTACAACTTAATTGAAATGAATTCGTATATGATAAAAAGTTAATCTGTTTCAATTAATCCGTCGTGTCACATCATACTACAACAAATTATAATTATATAAACTAGGTTAGGTTAGGTTTTGTATGAAGTTATACTATTATATGTATTGTGATTATTTACATGCTCGTTGGGCCAGTTAGGAGTAAAAAGAAATTACATAGATGTTATCGCTAATTGGCAATTTTCTCTATAGGTACATTTACATGAACTTTGTGTTTGTTTAGTTCCTGGTATAGATTCATTGTGGTGTGTGTGTGTGTGTGTGTGTGTGTGTGTGTGTGTGTGTGTGTGTGTGTGTGTGTGTGTGTGTGTGTGTGTGTGTGTGTGTGTGTGTGTGTTTACCCCTTATCGTAATCACTGTGTGTATACCAGTAATACAAGAATGTGTATACCACCATGTGTGTCTCACTGACTCACCCACCCGCTGTAGACACGAGAGGAGTTGTGTCACAAGACGTGGGGCTCATATAGTGCTGGTTAAAACGCCGTGTATCCTGCAGAAGGGACCTCGGGGAACAGCGCCATCGTGCTACTGAAGGAGACAGTTTCATAGATGATTGGAGTTTCAGTCCCATGTGTAAAGAAAGTTTCATTTGCACAGATAAAGTTTCAATAACATAGGTAATATTTTTTTCAGGGGTAAAGCAGCATTTTTTTTTGTAGGTAAAGGAAGTTTCATTTTCGTATGTATAATTTTTTTTTTTCATTCACACAGGTAAATAAATTTTTAGTTTAATAAGCAATAAATCTCAGTTTCATAGATAAAAAAAATAGTTTTATAGATCAACGAAGCATTATATCGCCTGCAAGACCCACATCGATATATTTCTCTAACTATAAACAAGATAATCTGTCACATGAACCAGAATAGTGAATAAACTAGACAGAATAAACTATAGAAATATCTGATAAAAATAGAAGTTGAAGCATTCTCAGGTGGGAAGAAAGAGAGTGTTCAGATAGCGAGCGAGTCTTATACGCAGAGGAAAGATTTACAACAACGTGAATATCTTCTGTGAAATTCAAACCCAGACAGATAAACAGAGACTTAGGGCCAGTTCTCTCAGGAGCAGTTTGAGTGTATCGACGTATGTTTGAGATGAATTTATTTCACGGTAGCTTCTAACATTTTTCTCCATTGATGTCTTTAGTTATATGGCCAATTTATGTATTTTATTTATTATTTTTTTGGGCAACAACAGTTATAGGACGCCCGTCGGGTATCAAGTCTGCTTTATTCTGATATAAGTTTCAGTTTTTTATTATAAGGTTTGAATTTCAAAGATTATAATTTTATTTTTGCTCGAGGTGAATACAGTGTACATACATACATACATACATACATACATACATACATACATACATACATACATACAGTCACTGGCCTTAAACACTATCTATAAATATATCTCAATTATCTAGATATAATCCTTGAGTGTAAAAAATTAATGTCACTATAAAAGATCACAACCAGTCACTGTTCACTGTTGTGTGTGTGTGTGTGTGTGTGGCTGGTGGGAGGGTGTTGGCTGGCTGTCCCCACCCTAGCTTAGTAGAGCTTCATACCCAGCCAGCCAGTCAGTCAGCCAGCCAGCGAGTTAGTCAGCCAGCGAATCAGTCAGCCAACAACAAACTTTCCCACCAGACGTTTGATATATTGCCAAAAGAGTGGCGAGCGAGAGTTAGTATCAGCGGGCCACACACACATGAGGAGGCCAGGACCTCAAAGTCCTATCACACCTGCTGCAGGAGTAAAGTTCGGGCCACACTCATGGCGGAGACCAGGGCCACAAGGTTCTACCACACCAGCTGCAGGAGTAAAGTTCGGGCCACACTCATGGCGGAGACCAGGGTCACAAGGTTCTACCACACCTGCTGCAGGAGTGAAGTCCGGGCCACACACGAGGAGTAGGCTAGTGCCACAAGGTCCTACCACACCTAGTGCAGGATTATAATCCAGGCCCCGCACAAGAGGCCACGATGTCCTCCCACACCTGCGGCAGGAGTAACACACAGGCCACACAGCATCCCACGTCGGCCTCTCCACCTTCTATATCTAAGTGACGGCCAGGCCTTGGTCACGTCCTATTACACCCTGGAATAAACAAAAAATATCTCTGATTGGAAACTAAGATCGGCGAAATTGTCAAGCAAGTAAATTGACTACAGTGCGTCTCCCTCCCCTCCACCTCAAAAGATCCCAGAAGACGGTGGCTGCCCGAGTGAGTGGTCCTTAAGACTGCTGGCAAAGGGAGATTGGTCCAGGATTCTCAAAGTTTCATAGGGTGAATTTCTCTCGTAACTCAGAATACAATGATACACCAAAATCTCTATCTTAAGTTAAAGTAGAAAATTATCTTACAAAAAAATGACATTAAAATAACAGTGAGATTCTTGTTAACTAGATACACTCACTTGGTGTCGGTTTGGAAGAAAATTACACATACAGTATCTCCGTGATTCTGGACCCACATAAAAAACACATAGTAAACCCATCCCTTCGTCCTTCTTACCCTAATTAGATAATTTTCTCGTGAACTTTGACCTCTTAGATAATTAACAGAATAAACATAGGTTGTTTATGTCTGTATCAGTAAAATTAGACACACACCCAGCGATTCCAGCATGCTTCTCGTCTACCATACACACACACACTGAGACTCACCGTGGTGTAGGAGGCAGGGCGGAGGTGGTGGGAGGTGAGCCAGAGGACTGTGGTCACCAGCACCATGAGTGACGACACAGGACAACAACAACATCGTGCACCACCTGAGTGTATGGCAGCTGGAGTCTCACCACCTGCGGAAGAGATGGTTATGGGAGCGTTCAGGAGCATATAGGAACACACGGGAGCATATAGGAGCACACAGGGGCATATGGGAACACACAGGAACATATAGAAACACACAGGAGCATATAGGAACACGCAGAGGCATATAGGAACACACGGGAGCATATGGGATCACACAGGAACTTATAGAAACACACAGGAGCATATAGGAACACGCAGAGGCATATAAGAACACACAGGAGCACATAGGAGCACACGGGAGCATATAGGAACACACGGGAGCCTATACGAACACTATCAGGTACTTCATAAAAAAATCAGGACGTCAACAGGTCTTTCAAAACCTTTACACCTCTGTTAGGGGCATACTTTATCTCCCTCTTGTTGTGTGGTGGTTAATTAAGAGCTCTACCACTAACACCTCCCCTCACACCACTAACACCTCCCCTCACACCACTAACACCCTCCCCTCACACCACTAACACCCTCCCACTCACCTCCCTCACCACCTAACACCCTCTAACACACTCCCTCACACCACCTAACACCCTCCCCTCACACCACTAACACCCTTCCCCTCACACCACTCACCACACCACTCCCCTCACACCACTAACACCCTCCCCTCAGGCCACAGGTTACCACTAACACCCACCCCTCAGGGCTCAGGGACGGAGCTACAAGAGGAAGGCTTCGGGGCAGCTTAGTTCCAGAAGCTATACACAACCTCATCCCCCCTCCTCCCTCCTCCCTCAAGCACCACAGTTTAAGAGCTCTTGGTGCAATACGCCCTAGAGCCTCTTGAAGTGTGTGTGTGTGTGTGTGTGTGTGTGTGTGTGTGTGTGTGTGTGTGTGTGTGTGAGTGTGAGTGTGAGAGAGAGAGAGAGAGAGAGAGAGAGAGAGAGATTAATATTACAACTAAAACGATGATAGTAATGATAATTGTAATAATGATAATAATGATGTTGACCAGAACAGTAATAATAATAATAATCCTTTGCTTCACACACAGGCAACTTTCGTCATACATACAAAAAATTAACCAGAAAAGTATTTATTTATTTTAAACAAAATCAAGACTATTAACAACGTCATGCTTTTACTCGTATTAAAATGACCCATGAACTGATAGTGTCTTTGTATGTGAGGGTGTTTTACGATCGAGAACTTTATAACACAACTGATGAATCATTCCTGTGTTAATCATTTGCTTGAGGTCTTGTCTTTAAAGGGGGGAACTTTTTAATTAGTATGTAAGCAAGAAACGTTTATTTTTAATTCATAATACTTCAATGAACTGTATCTTTCCTGTTTTACATCTTAAGACTTTGATCAGTTTAGTAATTATTCCTTATGAGTTAACAAGTCTTTGAAAGGGAAAAGAAAATTGAAGTGCGTAAAACTTTGACTGTTAAACGTTTCTCACCAAGTTCACTCGGCCTTAACCTGTAAACGTTTCTCATCAAGTTCACTCGGGCTTAACCAGTAAACGTTTCTCATCAAGTTCACTCAGCATTAACCTGTAAACGCTTCTCATCAAGTTCACTCAGTATTAACCTGTAAACGTTTCTCATCAAGTTCACTCAGCATTAACCAGTAAACGTTTCTCACCAAGTTCACTCGGCCTTAACCAGTAAACGTTTCTCATCAAGTTCACTCCGCATTAACCTGTAAACGTTTCTTTGGCAACTAAGAAGTTTTTAACTGGTGAGGGATTTTTCCCTCGAGTTAACAAGTCTTAAACCAACAAACGTTTTTTAAGGTCAAAAGTTTTTATTTCCCAAATTAGGTCCTTAACATAAGTCTCGTGTGTGTTGCGTGTGTGTGTGTGTGTGTGTGTGCTGTGTGTGTGTGTGTGTGTGTGTGTGTGTGTGTGTGTGTGTGTGTGTATATACCTGATCGAACGCTGTGTGTAGATAAAAGGAAACAAATACCCCCAAACCCCGTCATTGATCCACGAGGATTTACACAAATGTTGACATTAAACATTTTCTGTGAGGAGGCGAGGTAAAGGTTGGACCAGGGCGGGTACACACACGGTGGACTACTGTACTGAGAGAGAGAGAGAGAGAGAGAGAGAGAGAGAGAGAGAGAGAGAGAGAGAGAGAGAGAGAGAGAGAGAGAGATGAATATTAGAAAGGCTGACTGACTGACTGACTGACTGACTGACTGACTGACTGACTGACTGACTGACTGACTGAGATCCTTCCTATTATCTGCTACATATTTTCCCAATCACTTAAAAACCCTATACGCGTCGTCCCCAACAAACAATCACATAATAATAACAGTGTTGAGGTGAGATATACGACGATAATGGCTGTGTGCTCCCTTTACGTAGGTCTATATAACACTGATTTATTAGATGGAAGAAAAATGAGAATTGTTGGGCATTTATTGTGGCACAGGTGATGTGTTAATATGACTGAGGTGAAAAGTTAAAGATTTATTGTCTCTTGTTGATGGATGAAAAATGAGAAATATTAAACATTTCTTCTATAGTAAAAATGTTTTCATGGCGTCACAATGTTGAAGCAAACACACGAGAGAATTATCAAGTATATCCTAAAAAAATATATATATAATAACTTAATTACCAGGTTTAAAAATCGAGAATTATTAATATTTTTACCAGGAATTTGTTTAATATCATAAAAAAATGTTAAAATAATCCCGGACGAAAAACCCCAACATATCGTATAAAAAATTTATTAACAAAATATATATTTCCACCTCACTTCCGATAATATATATTTACCGGGGCAAAAAATTAAAATTATTGAATATTTTTCCCCCAGTGAGGTAACAAATAGTTGCCGCCATTCACACGCCTCACTGGGCCCCTTTGAATAGGGTTTCCACTGAGGTAAGTAAAGAGTAAATCATTTGGTAATCTGTAAATAATTGACCCAGATGCTTTAGCCGCTCGCTCATAATGTGTAAAGCCGGTAAATCCGATTTCCATTTGCATTTTAGTTTTCAGGACCAAATACAATGTATATGTTGTTTTATCATGATAGATGTAATGCTAATAATAATAATGTTAATAATAATGCTAATAGTAATAATAGTAATAATAATAATAACTGATAAAACAAAAAATAATAGCATTAACAATAACAACAAGAACAAATAAAAACAATAATCACAAACATTAACAAAAAACAATAAAATAACATCCTCATTACCACACACGCACACACACACACACACACACACACACACACACACACACACCATCCTTTACAAGTCCCCCTGAAACTTTATCTTCAGTCTATAAAAGTTCTAAACTAAGTTCTTCAATGTCTTATTTTCACCATTTTCAGGAGTGGCGAAATATGGCTGCCAGGGCGTGTGTGATTTACGATCAATATAATTCACATAAAATGGCTTAGAGGTGAAGGTGGTGCGATAAATTGTTCAGGTAGGGACGGTGTTCTTGTCAGGTGTTCTGCAGAGCCAGTTAAACCACCTCTTAAAGTTAATGAATGGAATGACACACGGCACGATTAATAAACTTTGATATTTGGGAGAATTTGTTTATACTTTATTTTAGAGGAGGGGGGGTTAGGTCAGGTCAGGTCAGGTCAGGGTAGGTCAGGTCAACATAAGGGTGTTTAATTATCAGGTAAAATAAGCGAGAGGTCATAATCTTCAAGAGTTCCTCCATCATTATTTCATGCAATTTTTATAAACACAATCACTACCTAGAACCTTTGTAAATTTAAGGGCGGCATTCGGGGACATAGCGTGTGTTCGATGAAAGGTGGACAAAGGCCTAGACGCACACACACACACACACACACACACACAACACCCACACACACACACACACACACACACACACACACACACACACACGCACGACGAACCACTTTATATATGGAGAGCAGAATTGGTGGATCCAACTTGAAATTGCATGGAAACACGTGTAGGCACCTGTGTTTACCCTATAACATATGTAACTACTTGTTACTCTCCCAAATGTACGTGTGCACACTTGTTATCTACATTAACACGTGTAGCCCCTTGTTAACACTCTCCAATACTCGTATATACCGATTGAGACGTATAAACACCTGTTATTCGGTAGTTATTCAGACCGTGTAGGCACTTGTCACTCACTCTCTGGCACGTATAAGTACCTGTCGCTCACACCCCCATAGCTCACCCCCTCTTAACATATGCAGAGTCTTGTTATACTCACCCTTTAACACGTGTATAGAGATGTGGGCTGGTCGGGTGTTGGACGGGGAGCAGGTGTAATTACCGGAGTCTGCTGGTCGTACATTGTTCAGGAACAGCACACTCACACCTCCGTTGTTCTCCACCCTCACCTGGGGACACATCGATACATCTCGGTAATAGTCGCAAGAATAGAAGTCGTGGTCGTAGTAGTAGTCACAATCACGTCCATAGCGGCATTTAGTCTTATTTTATCAAGAGACAAATAGTGTGAGACGCTCTGGACTGTCCAAACCCAGAAAAAGTTGGAATTCCCTATTAAAGGTTTCAAACCCTCGCCTCCCCAGCAACAAGTCAATTTCAGTGTCGGAAGAACGCGTCTGTCCGTGTTTTTTTTTTATCCTTGTTAGATACGTCAACACTCACCTCACCTAAACGTTGGCACAAAATAAACGATTAATGATATAATAATAGAGACATAAGAACATAAGAAAATAAGGAGTCTGCAATAGGCCGGTTGGCCTGTGCATGGCAGCTCCTGTCGAGTTACCACTCTCTATCATCCATGAATCTATCCAGCCTCCTTTTGAAACTTTCCAGAGTTCCCGCACTTACTACAAAGTTAATGCTTGTTCCACTCGTCCACCACCCTATTTGTGAACCAGTTTCTTCCTATCTCCTCCTAAACCTAAACTTATCCAACTTGAATCCGTTGCTCCGAGTCCTGTCCTGCTCGGATATTATAAGAACTTTATGTATATCCCCTTTATTGATTCCTTTCACCCACTTAAATACTTATCATATCCCCGCACTCTTCGTCTTTCTAGAATGCAAGTTAAGTTTCTTAACCTATCCTGATATGGAAGGTTTCTGTCCCGAATCATTTTTGTCATTCTTCGCTGCACGACTCTAGTGAATTTATATCCATTCTATAATAAGGGCACAAGAACTGAGCTGCATATCCAGTGCGGCGCCCTGACTAGCGCAAGATATAGCAATAAGACCTCTGCACCTTGTTACTTACACTTCTAGATATAAACCCAACACTCTGTTTGCCTTATTTTGAACATTAACGCACTGTTTTCTCGGCCGTAGGTCCGGCCTACAAGTAATACCCTAGGTCTCTTTCACAAGTCGACTTCTCTAGGTTGATGTTGTTAAGGCTGTATACATTATAAGTATTTGTTCTTCCAATATTAAGTACGCTGCACTTGCTGGTGTTGAATTTCATTTGCCATTTTTCAGACCACCCGCAGTTTATTTAGATCCTCCTGTAAAGCATTTGCATCCTGCCCTGAATTAATTTGCCGCCCTTTTTTGGTGTCATCCGCAAACTTGCTTATGTCACTGCTGATCCCAGTATCTAGATCGTGTAGATTATGAACAAGAGTGGGCCTAGTACTGACCCCTGGGGAACCCCACTGTTACACGGCCCCACTCAGATTTAACACCATCTACGCTGACCCTCTGCGTTCTATCGGTGAGCCATGATTTTATCAATTTAAAACTTTCCCTCGATACCATGAGCCTTAAATTTTTTCAGAAGCCTCTGATGCGGTACTCTGTCAAATGCTTTGCTAAAGTCTAAGTAAATAACATCGTAATTTTTTCATTATCTACTACCTCGAAGACTTTCCTACGTTAGCAGATTTGTTAGACAAGATTTTCCCTTTGTAAACCCATGTTGAGAGTCGTAGATTAATTTGCTTTTCTAGATGTTATCTGCTTTAATTGATTCAAGAAATTTCCCCACTACTGACGTCAAACTGATCGGCCGGTAATTTGACGCTGATGCTCTGTCTCCCTTTTTGAATATGGGTACTACATTTGCCTGTTTCCACAAGTCTGGCACTATCACCACAGTCCTTTGATATCATGGTAATTATTTGACAGTATAGTTTCCCACATGATAATACAGCATGTTATCCCCTTACAACATGATATACCCACTTCACTTACCTCCCTGGTGGCGTGATAGTTGATCATGAGCTCGTCGTGGTACCAGAAGACGTAGCTAGGAGGCTGGGTGTTGTCTCTCAGCACACACACGAGCCTCAAGGAACTCCCCACTGTCATGTACTTCTCAGGGCCTCCCAGGATCTGAAGTCGCCTCTGTCCCAGGGTGAGACAGAGAGAGAGAGAGAGAGACATACACGAGTTATTCTCATTGTTGTATTGTGGTGTTAGTGCCTCTCAGTTATTCTCACCGAGTTTTATTGTTGTGTTGTGACTAACTTATTAAAACAGTGTAGGAAACATTATCATGCGGTGTGTGCTTTGTGGTCTACATACTGGACATATTTTATTATACAACTGAGTCATATTCACAGTGAGGTCGTAGTGGTTTATGGCTTTCTGAGGTCAAGGGTTAATAACAGCCATTTGTAAGGGTCGAGACATATTTTATAAACAAAGTTACAGAGTAGAAAGTCGGTATTATGTTAAATCCTAATGTCATACTCAGAAAGTCACATAATCTAAATGTTAAGCTTGGAAATTATATACTTTTGTGTTTAATATGGTCCTCAACCCCTCCAGGAAGAGACGCCATTTTTAACATTTTACTTTTTTATTTGGGTAACACCAGAAGGTTAATAAACTGTCTCCACTAACGCCTGTCATCCATAGGCTCTAACTCACCCCACTCCGCTGACCTTCCTTCCCCTAGCGGACATTCTCGACCGCATTGGGGGAATGGTATAGGCTAGCCAGGCCGTATACACTCTCCAACCTTGCACCCTCCACCACTGTCAACCTCCAACACTGTCAACCTCCAACACTAGCTTCTCCTCCAACCACCCTCCATTCCTCCAACCACCCTCCATCCCTCCAACACTCGTTTCTCCTCCAACAATCCTCCACCACCGATTTTAACTATCGAAAGCCAATACCACAGAAAGAGAATAAGTAAATATTAGTTAATGAAAGTGGAAATAAGAATAATCTTCAAAATGAATCGCAAAAATAAATAAATAAATAAAATTGTTACAGAATATTGGCCTAGCAAGAACTCTTTACGTGTCGAGCTTAAAGAAAAAAAAGTTAAAAAGACTTAAGTTTAATAAGTTACTAGAAATATATTAAAGGATAGAGTGAATAAGAAGTGGATAAACTTAGGAACACACAATTATTACTATAGTGAATAAGATGAATGATGAAGTGAGTTCAATAAATAATTCTTTATGACATTACAAATACACACACACATGAAAACACTTCATAAACATACACACTAAAGAACACACATAGGCGTATTCATACACATCACAAAAACATATCATACGCACATCACATGCGTAAAAGAATATATTTATACATACACATTACATAAATGCACATTACGAACGCATACTGTAGTACATATCACAAACACATCACAGACACACATTTCATAAACACACACATTACACACACACACACACACACACACAAAAACACCACACACACACACACACACACACAAAGCACATCATAAACACACACATACAAAAAAGAAGTGAAAGCATAAACGCCTCACAGGAGGATGCCAGATCTCGTGATTCTCTGAACACGCAGAGTTAAAGAGGAAGGGTAGTACACAGCCGGCAGCTGCTGAGGCCCTCACGCTGTGTACCGACCAGTGAGAGGGAGAAGTGGGGAGGCAGAGAGGGGGGGTGGAGGCAAAGAGAGAGGGGGGGGAGGCAGAGAGAGGGGGGAGGCAGAGAGAGAGATAGAGCAGGCAGAAATGGAAAGAAAGAAAAAAGAATGGGAGTCAGAGTGAAGCGGAGATTGAGAGAGAAGAAAAACGTAGAGAAAGAGAACAAAAAAGAGGGAGACAGGCAGAGAGGCAGATTGTCTGACAAATAAACATTGCAGGGAGAAATGAGACAAGTGTCGTTGTCGAATTTATTCATCGCTGTGTTCTTTTGGCCAGGATGTTCTAAAATGATGAATATTATATGAGACAGGAAACATATTCTTTGGCAGGAAGTTTTACAGTGTTGCTAGTCCTAGTTATAAATGAGTTGAGGCAGAGAGAGGTTTGAGATGGTATATTGACACATACAGTATTAGCCCTCCCAGATTCCCTCGTAATCCGATCTAGAGTTTGTGATGATGGCAGTATTATGGGAGCACGTTAGTACACTCGCTATGGACATACACAGTGTACTTCAGTATAGACAATAGGGAGAACAATAAGACTCCCTGCTAATGTGCAACGCTGGAAATTTTCTGGTAAGGGTTAATGTTTGTTCATTGATTTGATGGCGTTTCTCTGCACCGATTGGAGGAGGCTGAGTGGCCATAACACCACACCCAGCCCACCAATGAGAGTATTTCATCTGGGAGCACCAATGATTTACCAACTGTTCCTTGGTAAAGTAGGGTCTTGGTTCTGAACATGCTGGTGAACTCTCAGTGGGGGATAAGATGGATGATGGTGATGTAAAAATTTGTGCTGAGTGATGGAATGTCATGTTTGTTGTTAATTAAAATGTATTTAGCTATAAGACCATTGTAGGAGCAGTGAGAATGAAGGATCCGTAGAGGGTTGAAGCTTCTGTGTAAAAGTTAATGGAATTTTATGTCACTTCAAGACGAACATCGATGGTACGAGTGAGGGACCTCGAGGAATCCCAGCATTAAAAGTGATAGAGAAAATAGCATCCAGAAATACTCGCACGCTGCAATAGGATAAAAAAAATTCCAGTGATTAAGGACAAGAAGCAATTTTGCAAGTATGGATCAACGTCATGTGATTGGTTACGTCACATACTATTACATGGTTTTCAATATTGCAGTGTGCTGATTGGTGGACTGAATGAGTGAAGCAGACCGATCATTACGGATACCTAACTGACGATCACTGATTAGATTATTTTCAAGATGTTTGGAAACTTGGTTAATGATCACTATTTCAAAAGTTTTGTTGAAGTGAAGAAAATATGACGATAATTTCAATGATTGGATTTATCATATTACTGAGGGGTTAAATGAAAATTGACATCTATCCATGATGACGGGAAGATATGAGCGGGAAGCTACAGCAGGAGGGAGCTAAATAGAGCACTTTTCTTGAGACCAGTAGAATCTCACCCAGTCTTAAAATCCTGTCAGTTTTAAAGTCATACGTAAAAGCTAAAGTTTCCGGCACCTTCAGATCCAGACGAAGAATCATCTACTCATAACTCCTACAGGGTTGAGTTAAAAGGAAAGTATTTATTACAGTAAATTAACCTTGTGGGAATCTGAGAGAGTTGAGAGGAAGTGTGGACTAATGGTTGTTGAAGCTGGCACTGAATTCATTAAACTCTGACCACAATAGTTTGTTATTGTTCGGGGGTGTATTTAGCAGTGTGGTTGATCTTTTTTTTATGAAGAAAGTTTGATCTGTTGAGTTTAGTTATTGTTCTGAAATATATAAATGTGTTTGTGGTTACTGAGTGTCTGTATGGTGGTGGGATGGATTTGAATAGTTTTTAAGACATTTCTATTAGCATAAGTTATAGCAATGGTGCAGGGCAAGTGACACACACACACACACACACACGAGATTACTGGTGCAATATAAACTCTCTCGCCTTCTTCGTCTCGACCTTTGAACTTATTTCGCAAAGGCGGTTAAGAGATAATCGACTATTACAAAGCGGATGGTTGGTGACCCCTTGGCAGTCTTTACTGGGTGAGGGAAAATGATTAAAGCTGCTGGTTGGTTATCCTTCCAGGAACGTCTCCGCTGATCGATTCATTGACACATTCACTCACCACCTTACAGTTTACTATACCCTTCATTCATCTCTCTCTCTCTCTCTCTCTCTCACGCATGGGATAATAGCGTTTACATTTCTTCCTGGGTAAATTCACCGTCATTGAGACCCATCTATCTGTGAAGATAACCCGGCAAGAGCTTTTGTGTATTCATAAATATATCAATAGAGTGAGAGGCAGATCCTGGCTGATGCATTATGCCAGATAACAGTGGTGTTCAGACGCCTGTAACACGGTGTAGGGAGGAAACACTCTCTGAATCCCTCACGTCTGTTTAAAATATATTCAATTTTGTTTATGCTTTTAGTGGATATTAAGGACAGGTACAGCTATAGGTAATTAGGAACTCATACAGGTAAAAACGCCTGGACAGTTATAAATGCAATACATACATAGATAAAAAAATAGAGAAAAGTAAAGGTAAATATATAATCCGAGACACCTGTAATTACATATAAAGGTACAGGTATAGAGATTTTTCAAGGCTAATAACAGTACAGCATCACTATGGTCAGGATCAATGTATTGTTAAAAACTTCATTAGGTCACACCATCATGTACACCAAGAAAGGAAAGGTACTTTATATTTTTCATTCACCCTTGAAATTCCACACCAGCTGACCACCACATTTCTCAGGCGTTATTGATAAAGTAAATATAACATTGAATTTGACGACTCAATGCAGTATGTAGAGAGAATCGGTATGAAGTTTAGTGAATCAATATTTATTATAAGATTTACTTTGTGTGTGTGTTGAGGATATGACTCGCTGTGTGCAGAGTGTATTTTGCATGAATGGTTGTCGTGTGTGTGTGTGTGCAGGATATGAATGTTGATGTAAATATTTCACCTTGTTGAAATAGCACTTCCCCTGCCTATACTTATTCTGTACAATATTTCCCCCTACACATTATCACTATTATCTGATCATTACCTATTAACACGCTATTAAAAACCTCCAGTAATTGAGTGAGATAAAATATAATCACCCGAGTATCTTTCTTAATTATATACCTCTAGCTTATTTGCATACTCACCTTAACACCATCATTAAGGTGGAATATCTTGAGATTTGGTATAAGATTAATCACCCTCTAGTAAGTGACGTTCTAGGGTCTTACTTCCATTTGTAACAAAGTCGTGACAGAAGGCAAGTTTTACCTCCTCAGAGTGTGACTGGCAATTTGTCTGCTTGCTTGCTTGCTGCTGCTGCCTCGTTTGCAAGCATGTGTGTGTTTAATTTATTGCCTGTCCTTTACCTTGCATTTTATTCTTTGTTTACGTTGCTCATTTGTTTTATTATTTGTTTTGTTTTTCTTTTATTATCGTTGTTTGTGTCTCATTCATTCATTTATCCCTGTGTACGTATATCAATGTTCATATAATAGTTTTTTCTTACACTATTCTTCACCACTATATTCTTACATTCGTCTTTGTGCCGAACATAACAAACAATCTCTTTAACAACAATAGTGAATTCACATGAAGTATTCTGAATCAGTGTTACAATTCACTCTATATGACTCAACAGCTTTACGTAATATATTAAATGAAACGTTGTGAGTCACTATGGATGAATCAAAGAGTCAATCTTGTGTGTGTGTGTGTGTGTGTGTGTGTGTGTGTGTGTGTGTGTGTGTGTGTGTGTGTGGTGTGTGGTGTTATTGAGGTCTTTGTATGCTAGGATAGATAGATGGATAGATAGATAAATAGATAGATAGATAGATAGATAGATAGATAGATAGATAGATAGATAAACCTCCTCCTCCCAGACTAGTACAGCTATATCTATTTCACAACATTTCAGACAGTGTGAAAAGATTGAGGATTAACTAGGCTTTGTCTCTTCCTCCGTCCTGAATGAAGCTCGTATCCATTTTAACCCCTTCCTCTACCCCTACTCCCTCTACCCCTTACCTCTACCCCTCTTACCCTTACCCTCTACCGTTTGTGTTTATTCATCCCGACAATGGTGTTTTCTTTGTCGAGCTATTGAATAAACTCTCTCTCTCTCTCCCTCTCTCTCTCTCTCTCTCTCTCTCTCTCAGGAAATGCACCAGGAAATTTTTGAAAGAATTTTGTCCCTCGTCATAAAACGCGGCTGAGATACAACGAACATACATACTATGTATTGACTGAAGGTGACAGGGGCGTAGATAGATAGATAGATAGATTTTTTAGATTGATAGATAGATGGATAGATAAATAGATAGATATTCGTACAGATGTTTATCTACGCCTGTATCATTGTAGTTTATGTCTACAGTGAATACCATCGGTGCGAGGACTGAGCTTCCGGTACCCACATCGCAAACCAAATCCTTCCTACCAATCCCCTAACCTAACGTTGTCCTAAAAATTTATATTATTTAGTATTTTTCCTCCATCACCATCTGTCTTTACCTCTCTTACTTGCGTGTAAGACTGTAAAATACTTAGGTAAAGGTGAGGTAATTAGTATGAATTATTTAACCTTGTGTCCACAGGTTTGAAAAAAAAAAAGTTTGAAAATAATGACCGTAGATTAGTCAGACAGAAGCGCCCTCTAGCAAAGCCACGTTGAGAGTCATTAATCAATTTGTGCTTTTCCAGGTGATTACGAATTAAATTAGTAATTACGGCAGCCAGTAATTTTCCCGTAATTGATGTTAAACTGATTGGACGCTAGTTTGAAATTAGTGATATGTCCAATATTTTTTTTTTTATTGATAACCAGTATTTCATTAACTGTTCTCCAGGTTTATGCAACAATACCTGATTATAATGACATTTTGAACAGTTTTGCCAGTGGGGTGATGGGGGGGGGGTTAAGTTATTATTTTGTTAACTCTAAGACTCAAATACACAACTTGGTAAGTATTTATTAGTCAAAAACAAAACATCTTTATATACAGTAGTTACTTCGTGAAGCTTATTTAAATATTTTCAAATCAAAACGGATAAAAAAAAGCTGTTGATTTAAAGCGCTGCACATTTCCTCCTCATAAGCAGTAAGCTGACCTAAATCTGAGAGCATTATGGCTCAGTCTTTCCAGGAGATTTTTTTTTTTGATACATTGGAGGAAAAACCCTTTTAGGATTTATCTTAACTTCCTCACACTGCCACGCCACCACGCCGCCCCTCACACCACCACGCCGCCCACACCGCCGCGCCTCACACCACCACGCGCCCTCACACCACCACGCCGCGCTCACACCACCACGCCGCCCCTAACACCACCACGCCGCGCCTCACCACCACGCCGCGCTCCACACCACCGCGCCTCACACAGCTACTGCACCAAACCCCGCAATCCATTTTTCCTCTTCTTATATCTGTCTTGACACTTCTGCTTATTTCAGGAAAACGATTTGAATATATGAGCCTTAACCTGTTTTATTTCTTTCCTTTAACGTTGTTGCTGTTGTTGCTGTTGTTGCTGTTGTTGCTGTTGTTGCTGTTGTTGTTGTTGTTGTTGTTGTTGTTGTCGTTATTGTTGCTGTCGTTGTGTTTATGTTGTCGTTGTGTTGTTATTGTTTTTTCTCCGTAATATTCCATAGACACATTCATCCAAGCCCCATCTCTCTTAAGTGTCTATATAATCTAACTCTTAAGCAACATATACAAAAAAAAATAACACTACTGATAATACTATAATATTCCTCTACTGTGTAACTCGATAACAGGTTAAACTTACCTTACCGTCAAGTTGCTCAAATCTAAGTCAGGTTTTTCCTTGGGTGACTTTAAAACCCTTGGCTGCTCAGAGCTTCCTTCCACCGAGGTCAGATTACTCTCTCTCTGTTTAATCCCCGCCAACGCATCTCCAGTTAAGTGTCTTCTTAACTTAATCTCAGCCAAAATCTAAGACTTTAATGGGGATTTCTCCTTCACTGTTTCTCAATGTGGAGTTAAAATCTTTATTCGCATCACTTGAAGAATCACTACTCTAGGTTAGGTTAGGTTAGGTGTAAATTCATTAGATTAGCATTAGGGTGGTTAATCTTACGGTGAAATGATTAGGTGGAGATTCTTCAGGTGATATATTTATCCTTCATCATCACTATTACTTAACTCGATCATTAATTCGAACTTACAAATTATATTTTGTTTTTCTATTTCACAAAACTAGATTGAGTGAAATATTTCCCCTGGATTCTAAATTTCCACGTAAATTTGTGTTGTCTTGTTTTACTAATGTTAAGGTCAACTGCAATACAAGCATTACTCTGTTTAGATGCTCCAGTAATTTACGAAAATCCTCTCCAGTCTGTCGAGAGAGAGAGAGAGAGGAGAGAGAGAGAGAGAGAGAGAGAGAGAGAGAGAGAGAGAGAGAGATGAGGAAAACAGACAGGGAGAAGAGAGATACAGAAAGAAAGAGAAATACGAAGAGATAGAGAGAAAAGAGAGATGCTTAAGAGATAGAGAGATAAGGAAAAACAGTCAGACAGAGAGAGAGAGAGAGAGAGATGGGAAAAAACAGAGAGATACGGAGAGAGAGAGAGATATATACGAAGATAAATAGAGAGAGGAGGGGGATAAAACAAAGATATACAACGAGAGATAGACATAGACACACTCGGTACTCACCCAGGACATGTAAGGTAGAGAAGAGGCTGACGGGGGGGTGGGAGGAGACTTGGCACTCATATTCTCCATCATCCCGGACCTGTACGTAGCGGATGTGGAGCTGCCAGTCCTGAGGGAGATAACACCACCGTCACACACCACCACTACCACCGTCACGCACCATCGTCACTATTACCATAACACACCACTGTCACAATCGTAACAATACCACCATAGCACCGTCACACTCGTTCACTGCCATCATAACACCACCGTCACAGTTATGCACTACCACCATAACACACACACACACAAACCTAATAATTTACACTCATGACTAAACAGATACACAGAAGTCACGTAAAACTCACTCCAGAAAGAACGACTTCTGTAGTGTAAACATTGGAGTCGTGTTGGCGAGGCGGTTATCGTGTTGACTTGACAGTCCATTTAGCTCTTGGGTTCGAATCCTTTATACGAACCAGTGCCAGTCGTATAACCACATCACAATCGGCTTGTCATAAAAAAAAAATATTCCAACTGGTTCACAAACACACAAACATGCACACTATAGGGGGGGGGGTATACCTGTGATATAATCAGGTTGTGTGTCACGCCAGGCCCATGTGATAGACGTCCTTGGTTGATTCATAATGTCAGGGTGTCTTAGAGGAGCCACTGATAGACCGTAAAGCCGCATAATCAGTCACATAACTTGTACTCAAATAATCTTCTTGTGTTCCTCTTAAAACAGGTGTTATTTTCACTAATTAAAATATATAGGTGTTTTCATTAATTAATACATGTAGGTGTTACTATAATTAATCTCTTCATTCAGGTGTTACTATAATTAATCTCTTCATACAGGTGTTACTATAATTAATCTCTTCATACAGGTGTTACTATAATTAATCTCTTCATACAGGTGTTACTATGATAACATAATGAGACAGGTGTTACTCACATTCTCGTTCTTGATGTAGCGGACCTGAAACCTGTCGTCGCTGCTGTAGGCTTAGAACCCACCGTCAGGAGGTGGTAGTCCTTTCTGATCCACGACACCTGCCGGCCAATTAGGTCAGGTCAGGTCAGGTGAAGTAAGTGGAGTAATATTAGGTTAGGTTAGGTAAATGAAGCAAGCCGTGAGATGCAGTAGGGAGTGTAGCCTAGTGGGGTAACGTTAGGTTGGGTGAAGTTAGGTGAAGCAACGTCATATAAGGTGAAGTAAATGATGCAAGATGAGGGAACATGAGGTAAGAGTGAGGTTACATGGAATAATATGAGAGAGAAATAAGTGAATTAACCCGTGGTAAATAACACAAGGACAAGATAAGGTAACGTGAACTAAGTGAAGCAATATGATGTAAAGTGAAGCAACATGAGGCAAAATGAAGTAAGGGTAAACTAGCCAATGGTTCCTACACAGATCACTACACATGTTGACATATATCACCGGAGCTATATTATACAGCATATACTCGTATAACAAACCCTAAGTATAATTACTCCACTTTAATGACTATATCAAACTTATATAATCACGTGAATCACCTATAATGGTAAAGATTCTATTAACATTTATTTCATTATAAGTTATATATTTTTTTTTACATATAATGCAATTGTATGTATGATAAATTATTATACATTCAACATGTTACTGTATACCTTTGTAAGATTCGTCAAAGGTTTAGTTACGCTCAGACGAACACACCATCAAGCGACTGGACATCCCATCATCAAGTCGACACGCTAAAGATTTCCTTACACTTCGATCAATCATCTCTAATCTAATTGCCTTAGTGGACGTTTCTTTGCCTGGAGCTCATGTCAGATTTCTTTGTCATGTTTAAAAAATCAAAATACCGAAGATTAAAAGTGGGCGTCATGATTTAAGTGTAATTTAAGTGTAATTTAAGTGTGTTCAGTGAGCCCAGACAACGAGAGATTCATCAGGGATACGTTTGAAAAAAGTCCATATTCTCTTCAAGTTCTTCTGTTTTTGGTTTCCTTAACATGATAGAATGGATCTTGGAAAAACCTCGAATCTGGTTTTGTAGTTGTGATGTAAATATGATAAATAGCCACAAGGACATGATAGTTGTGTGGTGTTGAGTGACGGTCATATGTATACAGTGTGAATTGTGTCTATCTCCTCCGATACAACACACACACACACACAACACACACACACACACACACACACACACACACACACACACACACACACACACAGTATACGCCAAGTTATGTTTGAGATAAAACACATTATCACCGAACCATGAAGTGGAAAGTGAAAACGAAATGAGAAATTAAATTCAAGGGATAGATTCTATATAAGATTTGGTGTTTATGTTTTTTTCTAATTTATTTGATGAGTAGATGAGGAAAGGTATTTCTGATAGTAAAGAACATATAATTATAAACAATTCAAGAAAAAGTCTCCTCATGTAGGAAAAACATAAGTCGGTTAGTCAGTCGGAAGGGGGTGATTAGCCAGACTGACTTAACATAGCCCAGTTAGGTACAGGTTTAGTTAGCACAGCACTAGCCAACTGTGTGTGTGTGTGTGTGTGTGTGTGTGTGTGTGTGTGTGTGTGTGTGTGGAGAGTAAAAACTACATTAGCCTGGTATATATTCATTTAATTTCCACACGTAACTGAATTTAACACAAAGGAAAAACCTAGCACCAAATGTTTTAGGAAAGTTAAAGTAAATGACATGAATTAATAGTGTAGAGTAATGGTTTAAACTGATGTTGTGTGTAAGTTTGCTGATAAAAAAGAAAAAAAAGTGTATAAACTGATGGTATGATTAAGTTTAAGAATAATTAATAACGTCAACTGATATTATGATAAATTTGTAAATGTTAAAATGGCTTTAGCTTGATGCCCCAAAGGAGGAGGAGGTGGAGGTTTTAAATGAGGGAATTAACCTGTTTAGTTAATTCAGTTGAAAGTGGAAAACCCCAGGGATAGGAGAGGCGGATAATTGTATATGTAAAGGAACACTGGAAGAGAAGACAAAGAGAGAGGGGTAGAATAGGAATAGAGTGGAATGAGAGAGAAAGATAGAGAGAAATAGAGAGATAAAAGAGAAATAGAAAGAAAAAATAGGTAGAGAGATAAAAAAAAAAGCATATTTCATAATTATCTTTTCATATCAACTTACAGCAACAGACATTTTCATTAATTTTAACATTTTGTGTCTGATGTGACTGACTTTAATTTCCGGAGTTGACATTTGTATTATTGTGAAACCTTCTAAAATAATATGACCAACACAAAGGTATAAACTGAGCTAAGAGCAAAGAAAATCGTATTAAGCTCTGTTTGGTTTCTCTGTAGCCAGGGTTCAGAGTCAAAGAGATTCTGTATGTAAATTTTGTCCTCCAACTGGATGTTCCTGAAAACATATCTAACTCAGGTACAACATCACAATTTGATTCCATGTTTGGGTGTTATCATATAGTGTTATAGCTTAAGTGACTTACTCGTTTCACTTTCATCTTGACTTAGTTGGAAATTGTAACGTTCAAACCTTTGAGGATAAGAGTATAAGACTTTTGCCTTCTATCTCCCCTTCCTCCTTTCTCTTCTGTCTCCTCTTCTTTCTCCCCCTTCTTCCTATTCTTCCTCTTCTCCTTCTTCCCTGACCTCATTTTCTCAATCCCTCTCCCTCTTCTACTTCCTCTTCCTCCTCCTATTCTTCTTCCTACCTTATCTCAGCTCTCTTCCCTCTCTCTCCTCTCCTATTCCTATTCTCCTCTCTATTCTCCATCCACCCACCCAACCTCATTCTCCCTCCTCATCCACTCCTCCCCACCACTCCCTCCCCCCACCCTCTCCCTCACCACTCCCCTCACCACTCCTCCCCACCACCTCCCTCCCCCACCACTCCCCCCACCCCACTCTCCCATCACATCTCCTCTTCCTCCTCCCCACTTTCCTCTCTCCAACCACTCCTGTCCCTCTCCTCCTCTCCTCCCATCCCCTACCATCCCCTCACCCACCACCCCCCATTTCTCCCTCCCCACCACTCTCCCCACCATGAGAGGGACCTGTAGGCTGTATACTGCAGACGGTGGGCTGAGTCTCACAGGTCACCTTAAACGATTATTCTTTGATTACAAGCGCTTTCTTATTATGGGAGGTATGATTGTTCCTCTCTCTCTCGGGGTATTTATAGAAACAAGAAGAGCTAAAGACAAAACTGTGTAAATATGTATGAGGTCTTGATAGTTAATTAAATATATCTGAACTTTATACCTTGACTGCCAAACTTTACCTGAATTAAGTTAGGTTAGGTTAAGTTAGTTGAGGGTATTTTACACATTTCTAGGTTGTATTGTTTGTATATTCAGGAGTAGTTTTATACAGGTCAGTTTATAATGTTGAGAAACAGTAAGAATCTTAAGGAAATTATTGCTATGTTAAAAATTATATCTTATACAACATGTATATAAAGGGTAAGGAGAAGGAGGAAGGGGGGGAGAGAGGAAGGGTGGGGAAGGAGAAGGGAGAGGGGTGGGTGGGAAGGAGGAAGGAGAGAGAGGGTGGGTGGGAAGGAGGAAGGAGAGAGAGGGTGGGAAGGATGAAGGAGAGAGGGTGGGAAGGAGAAGGAGAGAGGGGGGGAAGGAGGAAAGGAGAGGAGGGTGGGTGGGAAGGAGGAAGGAGAGAGAGGGTGGGGGGAAGGAGGAAGGAGAGAGGGGGAAGGATGAAGGAGAGAGAGGGTGGTGGGAAGGAGGAAGGGAGAGAGGGGGGAAGGATGAAGGGAGAGAGAGGTGGTGGAAGGAGGAAGGAGAGAGAGGTGGGAAGGATGAAGGAGAGAGAGGGTGGAAGGATGAAGGGAGAGAGAGGGTGGGAAGGATGAAGGAGAGAGAGGGTGGGTGGGAAGGAGAAGGAGAGAGGTGGAAGGATGAAGGGAGAGAGAGGGTGGGTGGGAAGGAGGAAGGGAGAGAGAGGGTGGGGAAGGAGGAAGGGAGAGAGAGGGTGGGTGGGAAGGAGGAAGGGAGAGAGAGGGTGGGAAGGAGGAAGGGAGAGAGAGGTGGTGGAAGGAGGAAGGGAGAGAGAAGCGTGGTAGGGGTTCACCGTCACCTTCTCTAGAACCTCCCAGTTATTTACGTCTGAGTCCCGCCACCCTCACCTGTCCTTGGCTTATTTATGATGCTACACCTGTGGCTGCTTATCTATCTCCCTCTCACACACAAAAAAAACAAAAACGCCTCCCACATTCACACACACACACACACGCACACACACACATACATACATACATACACACACATTCATACATACATACATACATACAGAGGCAAACACATACATACATACATACATACATACATACAGAGGCAAAACACATACATACATACTAGAGGGAGGGAAAACAAGTAACAACCACGTATAGACCCCAGAGAGTTCACAGGACGTCCTTAGAGAGTTGACCTTTGTGTTCCGTCACCAGAAGTTAAATAATAGCCAATCAACCCCAGAGAATCCCTGATGTCTGCCCCCCTCCCCCCCTTAGAGACATCCACCACACCTCTCTACTCCTCCTTCTTCCCCCTTCCCATCTACCCCTCTTTTTCCCTCTTCACCCTTCTCTCCCACCTCCATCAACTCCCCCTCCCTTCTCTACCTCTTCCTCCCCCGACGTACCGTATTCTCTCCTACGTTCTGGGCGATGCAGTGGAGGACGGCCGTAGTGCCTACTTGGGACCTGAGCTCGGCTGTGGGTGGAACACTGGGGCTGGGTACACAGTCAGGTCCTCAGCCGGGCCCACCAGTGTAGTGGTGGTGGCGCAGTAGACTCGGGAACACTGTAGGGGGAAAGATCGACCACACCGCCAGCAGGGAGGTGTGGTGAGTGATTATATTATGAGTTACTTAAATTAATGTGTAGTATGAAGAAGCTGTTTTTATGTCTTTGTTAATTTTTTTTAATAATAAATAATAATAATAATTAACGGTTTGTTAATAGAGTTGCAACCGGTGCCTGAAAATATACAGACTTACATTTGATTTAGACAATGATATAATGTGCGTTGAATACATTTACAGGGCTGTACAGTACATAAGTCAGGAGTTGTTTATTATTTTAACAATAGATGGAATGGTGCTGTTCTTATATCTATTGGTGCGGGCTCTTATGGGCTGAATTTTGTTGTAGTAGCAGACTGTGCGAGGGGTGGGATCGCCGGTGGCAGGAGGTGGCGATGACGAGGGTGATGCATTAGTTGGCTGCCAAACCTTTCCAGTGCTTGGTGTGTGTGTGTGTGTGTGTGTGTGTGTGTGTGTGTGTGTGTGTGTGTGTGTGTGTACAAGCAACATTCACACCCCCACAGCCTGGTCTGAGTGGTGGTTCTCCCGTCAACTCTCCATCACCACCACCCGTCGCTAGTGGAGCAAAACTCGATCCTTTGATCTTGGGCAATCGTGTGTAATTTTCCCTGCCATCTTGTTAGCTCGGGCGACCACAAAGACCACCCCCGCCACCCGCACTCTTCCCTCGCCACCCGCACTCCTTCCTCACACTCGCTCCTCCTCACACCCACACTCCTTCCTGCCACCCGCACTCTTCCTCCCACCCGCACTCTTCCTCGCCACCTGCACTCCTCCTCACACCCCCCTTGCCACACCCGCTCTCCTCCTCGCCACCTGCACTCCTTCCTCGCCACCTGCCTCCTCCTCGCCACCTGCACTCCTTCCCCACCCCCTCACACCTGCACTCCTTCCTGCCACTCGCTCCTCCTCGCCACCTGCACTCCTTCCTCGCCACCCGCACTCCTCCTCGCCATCGCACTCCTTCTTCCTCGCCACCCGCACTCCTTCCTCGCCACCTGCACTCCTCCTCGCCACCCGCACTCCTCCTCGCCACCCGCGCTCCTCACCCGACACATATTTGCTAATATTAAATTAATATCTCACATGTCCACAGGAGCGATGGTGCGTACAGGTGGTTTATATCGTCCATCAGGACAAAATATTTAATTGTGTTTTTCTAGACGAATGACTCAACGAAACATAGAGGAATTACGGTGACACAAGGGCATGATAATAATGACGACACTAAGGCATGATAATGACGACACTAAGGCATGATAAGAATAAATAAGACTAAAACAATGATAATGACAATCAGGGGCTAATGTACACCCCCTCATCCTTTCCCATTACGTCACACTGAATATAAACGTACACACACACACACACACACACACACACACACAATGAAAGCACATCGCTCTCACCCTTAGTTACTGGTTGGAGGGGGGAGGGAGGGGGCTTCCGAAATAGTAGGGTAGCATCGTAGTTCACGTAACCACCGCCAACCTCCTGATAATGTTCATTTTACGACCTGATAATTCCAATATCTGGCTCAGCTCTGCATAATAACACGGCAGTAACTCTAACTGGTCAAGGTGCCTATGTAATATACACAGTCAAGTCGGGTTTGCTTTTGAATTCCCAGCTCTATCGGGGGAGGTAATTGATTTTGTCCATTATTATTATTTATTGTTGTTATTATTGTTGTTGTTGGTGGTGGTGGTATTATTATTGTTATTATTGTTATTATATGACAGTAGTGAAATGGTAGTATAGTAAATAGTAAGGTATTATAGTATTAGTAGTATGTTAGTAGTAGTAGTAGTGGTGGTGGTGGTGGTAGTATTAGTAGTAGTAGTAATAGTAGTTGTAGTAGTAGTAGTGGTAGTAGTAATTGTTGTTGTTGTTGTTGAGGACTGACCTGGTAGGGCAGTGCCTGAGCCTCTCGCCAGGCTAACAGGAGGCGGAGTAACACTAGGTGGAGGAGTCTGGTCATCTGGCCTCAGCTGGTCACCGGGAGGTCACCAGGATGTTCCCAGGAGGTCACCAGGATGTTTCCAGAGGTCACCAGAATGTTCCCAGGAGGTCACCAGGATGTTCCCAGGAGGTCACCAGGATGTTCCCAGGAGGTCACCTGGATGTTCCCAGAAGTCACCAGGATGTTCCCAGGAGGTCACCAGGATGTTCGTAGGAGGTCACCAGGATGTTCCCAGAGGTCACCAGGATGTTCCCAGGAGGTCACCAGGATATTCCCAGAAGGTCACCAGGATGTTCCCAGAGTTCACCAAGATGTTCCCAGGATGTTCCCAGGAGGTCACCAGGAAGTTTCCAGGAGGTCACCAGGAAGTTTCCAGGAGGTGACCAGGATGTTCCCAGGAGGTCACCAGGATGTTCCCAGGAGGTCACCAGGATGTTCCCAGGAGGTCACCAGGATGTTCCCAGGAGGTCACTAGGCTGTTCCCAAAGGTCATCAAGATATTCCCAGGTCACCAAGGAAGTACCGTCATGGTCACCAAGCCTGCCGCTGGTCCTTCACCATCTTGACAGTGACATCATCCTGTCAGGTGAGAGAGTGATGTGTTAATAGTTTGTTACGTTAGCATAATTAAACAGGTACAGGTAATTAATGTATCACACCACACACACACACACACACACACACACACACACACACACACACACACACACACACACACACACACACACGTATAATATATATATCGTCAGGTTGTGGTCAAAGTATATATCGTCAGGTTGTGGTAAAAGTATATATCGTCAGGTTGTGGTTGAAGATATATCGTCAGGTGGTTGAGTATATATCGTCAGGTTTGCGTACATATATCGTCAGGTTGTGGTCAAGTATATATCGTCAGGTTGTGGTAAAGTATATATCGTCAGGTTGTGGCAGAAGTATATATCGTCAGGTTGTGGTCAAGGTATATATCGTCAGTTTTTAAAGATATATCGTCAGGTTGTGGTCAAGGTATATATCGTCAGGTTGTTGTAAGTATATCGTCAGGTTGTGGTCGGTATATATCGTCAGGTTTTGTAAGTATATATCGTCAGGTTGTGGTCAAGGTATATATCGTCAGGTTGTTGTAAAAGTATATCGTCAGGTTGTGGTAAACTGGAGATTTTAAAGGTCCGGAGGGAGTCTTGGCTGGCCCCCGTGGCTTCGCTGGCTAATTCCCTAAGTGGGCTAATCTTGCCGGAGTCTCACGTAAACTTTTCATGGTGTGGCTCTTACACCACCACAAGTATACTCATTATTTTTGATGTAACGTTCAATCATGTTCAAGCAGCCAGTTCACCTTGGCCTCCTGGTCTGTAATACCTGTGATGGGTGGCTTCGGCCTTGTATGTTGCTGTAGTGTAAAAGGTATCCCTCCTTTTTTTCTCTCTCTCTTCCTGTTTACCTGTAAGTAGGTGTAGTAGATCACTTGCCTTCGTCCATAGTGAAATTTTGACTTGGTTTCCATTTTACTGTTGGTCTTTATCTCACCTTTCATCAAGACCAAAGGCCACAGATCCTGGAGTAGACACTGGATAATATAGACTATATACCTGTACTTGTCTTTATAATACAGGTACACGACTTTAGTCTTGGTGTCGCGCCTCTCAAGACCTGCCAGAGTTTAATTCAGATTTGGTGTTGATTTATTATATTTTAAACTTTTTGTGCTAGAAATGTCATGCAGATAAAAAAAGAAGTCATTTTTCAGAAGGTAATAAGGTGAGGAATAAATGGTCATTGAAGGAAAGGAGAAGTAGAGAAAGATAGGGTGAGAGGACAAGAACCGATAACTGTGAAGACGTGACCCCTCCCCCTCCCTCCCTCCCCACCACCCCAAACCCCCCACATACAGGCTGCCCCTCCCCCACCCTCCACAACAATGGGTCAACAAGGCACTGCTGATGGAGTGTCACGTGATATAAAGATTTCTCTTGGTCTGACTATAGTGTTTAATGGCGTCTGTACCTTATTTTTGTTTTCAAGTTTTCATGCCGATAGATTGAGTGTGTGTAAATCTGGTTCAATAACATCAAATAAGAATGTTTTAACCGGAGAATGTTGTAAGTAAAATATAAACGCCATTTTTACCATCATCTTTGTGCCCTGAAGTAAGCAATTAAGGCTGCCTTCCCGCCCGCACGATTAGGATAAAAATGAACATGTGAGTCTTCGAGAATCGGGTCCTGGCTTTAAGTAGATCCTCCAAGGTTGAAGAGGGAGTAAGACGTCACTACCTCGTCTTGGTCCCCAGGAGAGATCAACCAATCTCATTTGTGTGTACGTGTGAGTGTTTTCCAAACCAATCATCTTTCTCCACTTCTCTCCTCAATCCTTCCCCTCTCCCCAGGCCCACCTCCTCTCCTCCTCCATCCCAGTCTCTTCTACTTCCTCCTCCTCCTCCTCCTCTCTGTACTCCTCTTTTCTTTTCAGATTTCTCTTATTCCTTCTCCTATCCTCTCCCATCCCCCTCCCCACCCTCTTGTCAACATCCTTCCTCTCTTCCTATTTCCACCCAGTTCTTCTCCCCAGCGCCTCTCTCCCCTCCTCTCTATCCCTCCTACATCTCTCACCCTTCCCTCTACTCCTACATCTCTCACCCTTCCCTCTGTTCCTCCTCCTGTTCCTCTAACTCACACCCTAGTCCCCTCTTGTTCACCTTTCCCGTTTTTTATACTTTTTTTTTAGATTTCTCATTTACCTCCAATTCTGTTTCTCTTAGTTACTCCTCTACCCTCCTTCTCCTTGATCTTCCCATCCCCTCTTCTTCCTACTACTCCACTACTTCTTTCTTACGCCCTCGCCCGCCTCCCCTCCTCCTCCTACCTCCTTCTTTACTACTCACTCTACCCCCCCCTCTGTGCCACTAATCTTATGTGAGAGTACACACTGAAGGCTCTCTAAGCTTCCCCGGAAAATCCCTTTACGAGATGAATTCGCCTGCTTGTAACACAAACATGCGCCCTAATATATTCTTACTCATTTTTAGAGCACACACACACACACACACACACACACACACACACACACACACACACACACACACACACACACGAGCGGAGGAAAAAAACAGAGTCGACCACATGAAAACTTTTGCATTTAACATTTTTTATACACGTGTTAAAATATAAAAAACCCACACATTTACTTCCGCACGCAAACACAGATATACACACGGTACAGAGATGCATAAATATACAATGTATATTCATGAGCGCATTCATACACAGTCACACATACTGTACAAATACTGTATATATACGTTTATCCACACTAACACGCATACATGCTCAGTAAACATATATGTACACAAACTCATGTACACATATACATACTCAGAAGTATACCTAAATGCATTGACACAGATACATGCACACGATCACAAGTGTATGTTAATGTAGGTATACAGTTATACATGTATACATCACAATCCTGAACATATACAGTAACTGTGTGAGTATACATTTATACACGGATAACATACATACATCTGAGATACACTTTCATACTGACGCCATAAACACACTTACAACACAAGCACCACACTTACATCACACAAACACCACACTTACATCACACAAACACACGTTAACACCATTAATACAGCTCTGGGTTTACACGAGGGAGAGATAGTCTACTTAGAACACAAATTTGACTTAATAAGCTTATGTGACCCCGAGCGACTGAGATCACACGAGTTACTGAAGCGAAGATGAAATTATTCTAGCTTGTTCGTCTATCATATTTACTCGATTTTTTCTATGTTTCTTTATTCTTTTTCTCTTTATTTTATTCTTCATTTTCTTGTTCTTGGTTCTTGTTGTTCTTGTTTCTTGTTCTTGTTCTTCTTGTCTCTTCCTTTTGCCGTTCTTGTTGCTTCTGCTTATTACTGATGACAAATCCTCCCACCCACCCACCACACCCACCCACTCACCACACCCACCCACCACACCCACCCACCACACCCCTATATTCCACAACGTTAATGATGATGCTAGAACGAATAAATGAACAAAGAAGAACAGAAAACACAATGGGTGATGATGAACAGAAAACACAGTAGGTGATGATGATGGTGGTGGAAATGGTAGGGTTGACAGAAGGGGTTGAATAGTCTAATTATCTGATCTCTGTCTCTCCTTGTCTCTCTGTGTCCCTGTCTTTCTGTCTCCCTGTCTCCTTCTCTCCCTGTCTCCTTCTCTCTCTGTCTCTCTCTGTCTCTTTCATGGTATTGGATCAAGGGTGTAGACTGTAGAGAGATCGTAAAGAGAATACAATATGTAGAAACTGGTGTAGAATTAAGTGTTAGAAAGTGACAAAGGGAAAGTGTTAGGAATAAGTGGGGAAATATCTAGCTAATGTCGTATTGTGTTCAGCTTCCTTCTACGTACACACACACACACACACTCGGGGTAAATGAATGTTGCTAAATAAAAGACTTCATTTCATTTCACTCTGTAAATTGAGTCGTATCATCGAATTACACACACACACACACACACACACATAAACACACACACACACACAAACACGCACACACACACACATAAACACACACACACACACACACATTATACAGAGTGAACCTTATCATCAACCATTCTTAACAAGGCTTCATTTCAATTTACTGCGTCTAAATGATACATTTAGAACAATGACCTAACCAAACCACCACAAGGATACAACCAGCAGAGTGAGGGGGGGATGGGGCGAGGAAGGGAGGGATGGGACGGGCTCTTTGTATATAATGAAGGCGACCTCAGTCTTCATTGTCTTTAAAAGGGGAAGAAAAAAAATTGCGTGTTATAACCGCTACCCACTAACGCGATCTTGGGGGGGGGAATAATAGTGTCTTATGCACCGCTGTGTCCCTGGTTCAGCCTCGTGAGAGAGTCGAGGAACTTTTCTTTGAGTTTTGGCACGGACGCTGGTCGGGAGGCAGGAAGGGCGGTGGAATGGGGGAAGGATGGGGTGTAAGGGGAGATGGGAGGAATGGGAGGAGGGGTGGGGGTGTAAGGAGGGTGGGGGGTGTAAGGAGGGGTGGGGGTGTAAGGAGAGGGTGGGGGTGTAAGGAGGAGGTGGGGGTGTGGGGGAGGGTGGGAGGGTAAGGAGGAGAATTGGGAGGGTAAGGAGGTGGGGGGTGTAATGGGGAAGGGGTAAGGATTTGCAATAGACGATTCGATTAAAATTAGCGATTCTAGGGTACTTACATTATTATCCCTCATGGTATTTCGCTTAAGCATCGTATATAAACAAGCCTTATATTCCTAATTTTTTTTTTTGTGAGGCGTATGTATATTTTTGGGGCGTATATGTACATTTTTGGGGCGTATATGTATTTTTTGGAGACGTATATGTACATTTTTGGGGCGTATATACATTTTTAGGAGCGTATATATATATGTTTTAGGGCGTATATATACATTTTGGGGCGTATATGTACATTTTTGTGGCGTATATGTACATTTTTTGGGGGCGTATATGTATATTTTTGGGGCGTATATGTACATTTTTGGGGCGTATATATACATTTTTGGGGCGTATAT